ATATATTAAATTATATTTTTTATATAGTAATAATATTACTAAAATTAATATTTAATATTTTATAAAAAAATTAACAAATTTTTTTAATTTCGCAGACAAATTTGCCTGCTAGACAATCTAAGGGATAATAATAAAGTTTAAACTAATATTTATTAATTAGTGAAAATATATTATAAATCTTATAATTAATTAAAAATTTATTCAAATATAAATCTTTTCAAATTATATGAATTTATTCAAGATCAAAAAATATTAAATTATATAATAATAATAAAATATTCAAAAAATAATAATTTAAGAAAAATTTTTTAATATTATTAAGAATAAATAATTATTAAATTATTATAATTATTAATAAATTTGATAAATTTTATCATAAAAGCTTATTTATTACTAAAAATAATAACATTTATAGTATTTATTACTTTTAGCATCTGAAGTTTTAAGAGAACAACTTATACAATAAGTAATAATATATATAGTTTTTCTATAATTATATGTAATTAGCATTTGAAGCTTCTTCATTTAATAATAAAGACAATGATTTTCAAGTATTTATAAAGATAAACATTCTGAAATTATTGAAAATACTCTATTATGTTATGTTATATAAGCTTAATAAAAAAAAATGCTAGAATATGTATTATTAAAAAAGTTCAATTGTATCACAAATTAAAAGAATAATTGAAAATTAGTATAACAATATTTAACTAATAAATCAAAAAAAATAATATTACTATTATTAATAAAATTATTGTTATATCTCATTTACAAGTATATTATACAAGTTGTTTACTTAATATTACTGAAAATATACAAAAAGTTTAGATTTTGAAATTAAATTTAGAAGTATTAGTCGGAAGTAATTATTATAATATTTATAAATTTATTAAAGTAGAAAAATTTTAATATGATGAATTGAGTAAATAATCTAAATTAACTTATTATTGAATATATTCATTTAATATTCTAATTAGATCTATTTATGAATATAAAGTATTTTATTTTATCTTTTATAATATTATTACAATTACATAAATAAACTTTTAAATATAGATAAATTTTAATAATAAATATATAAATTATTTATAAATTTAAATTAGAAAAATAACATTAAAATTACAAGTTTGATAGTGCCTTTTATAATTATGAATTATAAAAAAAACCTGTTTAATAATATAACACTTATGAAGCACAATAAATAACTAGCGCTAGTAGATATGAATTACGTGATAAAGAAATATAAGAAGTACCGAGTATAAAATAAGAATAAATTGTAACTAATTATTCGCCATCTAATAAATGACTTTTTCCTAATACAAAAAATTTGAACACTTAATAAGACTATCAAATTTATGAAAATATTTAAATTTAAATAATATTTTTCAATACTTCTACTACTAGTATTCTTAATAAATAATTGACTATAGCAGTATATTTGAAAATTCACTGTTATATTTGTTACCAAATTAATAAGAACCGTAAATATCTTAGGATCATCAAAGAATCTAATGAAACAAAGATATACTGTAGGAAGTTTAGTTTAGTAGAAAAGGTAAATTTTAAGAATATTTAATTTATAATTTCTCATTTATTATTATAACTTTTAAAATAATCCATGTTACATACTAAATATCATAAAAATATGAGGCATCTATTGAGATCATAATAAATATACTTTGTTTACCAAATGTTTAAAGCTTTCCCGACAAATAAATATTCCTAAACAAATTTTTATATTTGCTTCTGGGTATATGTTGTCTTAAACCAACGCTTCGTGATGCCAATACCTCTCTGGATGCTCTTATTCTTAAAATATTTTCATAATTTTGTATACACTGCTTATATCCATCTTTTTCATAATTTGAAAGACATTTTACAAGCAAATCGGCATCCAATAATGCACTATTTGTTCCTAATTAAAAAATAAATGAATGATGTAAAAAAAAAAAAAAATAAAATAAATGCATTAATTACATGTTTAAGGATACCTACCTAAACCCAAGACAGGATTCATGGCATGGATGGCATCACCAAGTAAAGTCACTCTTGTAGATTCCCAAGGCTCAATAGACCTCGGATTAATATCTAATAACGGCTTTCTCCTTGGTGGATTATAAGTTTTGAAAAATGAAGTCTCAAATTCTTTTGGTGATGAAACTGGAACCAAGGAGAGCAATTCCAAATAAAGATCGGTCAACTTACTAGGTCGTCTATGTTGTTTGATCAAATTTTTAACATGATCAATAACTGATTGAGGATCATCATCATTTACATGAACATTTTGGTTTCTCGTATCCCAGTGCGTATAATAAGCGTAGTGAATCATTGCTGGATAATGAATCTGATCATCTGATGTATTTGCCGTTATATCAACTTCGATTGGTATTAAACGAAAACCTAAAGTTAATGCGTCACCATCTCGAGAGATAGATTGTTGAGTTAGACTATTTCCATTCATAATAATCCGATCCACGAGCCTTTTATTTAAAACGAATTTCATGACTATTTGTGTAATTCCATAATCAAACATTCGTAAATATGGTAGTCTTTGCTTCCGAACTACAAAATGAAAGTAAATATATTTGAAATGATTTATTGCGAAAAATGAATATTAAGAACGATGTTCAGTTTTATTTAAATGATAAAAAAAAATAATACTTGGAGAATGAATTCCGTCGCATCCGATCAAGATATCCCCCCTCTCTCTAGTTCCGTCTTCAAAGATTGCCCAAACTTCATCGTTACATTCATCGTATCCAATACATTTCTTTCTCCATTGAATATTCACTCCTTCCAACATCAAATCTCTTAATCTATCTCTATAAGTAGCAACGGTAGAATTAGACATATTTGGCAATTCGAATAAAGATCTAACTTGTGCCGAGGCCACTCTTAATAATTCGTTTCCTCTATCATCGCTAACTAATATCCCATAACAATCTTTCTCAGAGATTGGAATTGGCATAACTTCGGGAAGACGAGTAACTAGAGACTTCGGAAGGCAAGAAATTAATGATCTCATTCCACGAGAGTTAATGGCCACACTAAATCCTTGCCATCGGTCTAAATAATGAAAAAAAAATAGATAAATATTTATTTCCTTTTTTTTTGTTTAAATATCAATAATTTTTTTATATACCTCGTGGATCTGTATCTCGCTCAAATATTTTTACGTTAAATTTTTTCTCATTTTTATTCAAATGTTTTTGAATTCCATGGTAAAGTAATAATCCACCAGGTCCTGCACCAATAATTAAAATAGTAGGAATATGCATTTTTAAGGAAAAAAAAAATTATGATGGTATTATATAATGTATAACGTTGTTGTACAGTACATGCATGATTTTCATATAGAAAGACTGTGCTTACATAACGAAAAAGAATTCTAAATTTGGTTAGATCAAACATATACTTCTTGCTACTTTTAGCTTGAGGCGAACGGACATATTTTAAATTTTAGTTTTTTTTTGCCCCATAGTTCTTTCTTATTTTCAAGCGCATCTTCCATTAACATATTAATAGGTAAGGTTTCTTAGTTGATCTTCCTGGTAATCCTGCAAAGCAAATTTTTGATGATTTCTAGATCTGGAAATGTGATGATCTCATGCGCAAAAAATAATTACGCATCGATTTTATAAAAAAAAATTTAATATCAATTACTGTATATAAATTTCAATACCCATGCGTATGTCGGGGTGCATAAGATGCACTATGCGTAAAATCTAAATTTCCTTATTTTTATTATTATTATTTTGTTTTTCTTTTAGACGATTTTTTAGACCGATTTCTCTCGGCAAAAAGCATTGGTAAGGAAGGTATTTATTTATTTATTAATTTTATTTTAAATTTTTTTTTATTTTAATCCGAGCTAGATCAGATTATATAGATACGTTCTTTTTTTAAATCACCTTTTTTTTTTAAGCGAAAATTGGATTGATTCAAGACACAACGGTAACTTTATTTTTAATTTTAACTATTTTCATTAAATTCTTTTTTTTCTTAGGTAAATTTATTCGGATCGAATTCATTGATGATGATTATGAAAAAGTTTTTCATTATTTAAATAGTCAGCCATTGAACGAATAACGATATATTTTTTTAAACAATTTTTATTTAAAAAAAATTTTTTTTTTATAGGACCTTTTTTTAGTTTACCTATAGGAATCTAAATTTAATCGATAAAGATATAAATAAAAATAATGAATAAGATATCGTAAGCATAATTTTTCACAATACAAAAAAATAATGAATATATATGATAATAATGTTAGCAATTTGTCAACATGTAATGCAGTTGTAAATAAATAAAGTACATTAAGCATAGTGACATAGTAAACGTACATGATGCTCTCTATGTACACGTAAATAAATTGATCTTTTCGATCTTCTCATGATGATCTCGTCGCATATTATACTAACAGTATCTTTAACAAAAAAATCCATAGTAATTTTTATATGCAGAAATTGACAAAAGTTTCGTTGATTTCAAAAAAAAAAAAATACGACACGGGTATGAAAGTTTCGCGTCTTTATCATTAGCCAATTTATACTTGAATAAAAATTAAGGTAAACTTATCATTATGATAAATATGATTGCCATTTTCGCAAAATACATTAATTTACTAATTATTGTTTATATTAATACCTTGTAGATATTTTATAAAAGATTCAAATTTCAAAATTTCTATTTTATAAAAAATTGCTCCTTGCTCTATAATTTTAAAGTTTGATAACTGAGGAAATTACTGCCTCGTCGCAATAGAAGAATTAATTTTGCGGCACTCACGCAATAATTGCTCGGTTTATCAATTAAATGTACTACTCACTCATTTAAAAGAATAGCAATTCCGTATCAAATAGAGATTCATTTTAATAATGTAAGCAGCAAAAATAGGTCTTTCAATACTATAAGGGAGTTTCCGTCCTATGATTTCCAAACAAGGGAAATAATTTAAAGGACATAGTTTCATTCTATGGACCGTTAAAGCGTAACCTCGTTCTTAGGACCAGTCCTTAAATTTCAAATACTCCCAATAAGTTTATTAGTTATTTAATGTAGGGTTGATTCTTTTTGAATATTATAATCACCGAGGGTTCTTTCACCTTCTAACTGTTTGCCGGTAAAGATTAAACGTTGTTGTTTTCTTCCTTGTTTTGAATTTTTTGTTTGACTTTGATAATGTTATCCGAACTTTCAGTAAAGTTTCAATCAATACAATATCATTAAACAGTATAATTTAACGCAAGTAAATAAAATTCTATTCTAGAACTGGCAACTTATTTGTACTTTTAGGACCGTTTTGGACCGTTGAACATTCCTACATATCAAAGATACATCAGGAAAGTATTTGAGGCGAAATATTCCGCGGCAGATATTATTCTTCATATATTTATGAAGTATTACGCTGCAATACTTGCACCTTAATTGAAAGCTCTAAAGGTTATAGCTCCGTTATAATTACGAAGTATTATGATTAAAGTTCTTCGTGGATATTACAGCTCAGTAAACCTTCGGAGTACTTCGAAGATATTACAACTTAGTAAATTTTTGAAATAATTCGATCGTAGTACTTCGCATTAAATTATTAATGAAGTACTTCGTACACTTACGGTTTAATTTTTCTAAATTTTGATAAATCAAATTAATTAATTATTTGCAAAAAATGTAAATAATATAAATTTGATTGTTAAATTGCTATCAATATGTAAATTCGAAGTTTAAATATTTGTTTATGCTGACAAAGTTTCAAGCGAATTCCTTTCAAATAGATATAAAATTCTGAATCAAAATAATATCAAAATTCTACGACGTAAAAATTGTAGACCTGCTATGAGTAGTAAACTTATGAAGTATTAGATATTCTCAATAAAACATACTATACAATTATACAATTTCATGATGTATGATTCAGTAGCTTAAGTTTGTTTGAATTATATTTAAGTTACAGTATATGTCTTAATGATGTTCCGTTTATTATTAAAAAATTAAATTTAAAACCTTCTTTATACTAATTTGATTTTTTAAAGCTAAGCCAATAAGTGAAACTTAACCATTTTTTCACATTTGTTAAAATGTTTCTATATGTATTAATAAATTTATTAATATGAAGTTCATTCCATTCTAATTTTAAAATAAAAAACCCTATTTATTTTATATTTGGGTGTTATCAACCATTATTTAATCTCTATAACGTTTTCAAAATATAGTCGCATTTTCCTTTAACAAAAAGTTTTTTTCCAATAAAATATACTTATAAATAATAAATAATAGTGACTTATGTATTAATTAAATAATAAATCTTATCTTTATATTATTAATAAAGCTGCTGATAAAATCTATCTATTAAATAAGTAAGTCAAAATCAGTAAGTTTTTATAATAATCAAATCAGTCAGGAATTTCCAATTAATCTTCTGAATGATCCATTCTCACCATCTATAAATTAAAGATAAGAATATAATAATATTATTATTCTGACTTAAAACAATACTACTTACTATTAATTTTAATATTATATTTTTCAAATGCGTTGCTTCGCTTTTATAATTATTTGTAAGGTCTATAATAAATTCTATTAAATATCGAAAAAATTAGTTTTACGTATGTATAAATTGTACTTACCAAAATTTGAACAAGTTCTTATGTTCGTAATTCTTCAGAGATTTTGGAAAAATTTTTACTACTGACTAATTGTTAAAAAAATTATTGCTATGAATTTATACTTATTATTTATCTTACCTTTAAAAAGAGTAATTTTTTTTGATGTGGGTTTATCATTTAAATTAATTGAAATCATCAACTAAAAATGAGAAATATTTAATTAAATTTACATAATACATTAAATATCAACACTTACTATTATCGGGAATAACAAAGTCGTATAGTTTACTATGAAATTCTTTAATGATAACGTTATTAAACCTAGTTTGAAAGAAAATTTGTTTGATTAATAAATATTAAAATAGATAAACTTACCTTCTAGGTTTTTTGTTTTTAAAAAATAAGAATCTTTTGTTGTATTCCTAGGTTCAGGAAAGTCAAATTTATAAACTTTACTAGTAAATGATTTGATTTGATGCTTTTAAAATAAATATTTAGGTTATTAACTTCTTTATTATCATTTGTTTTTTGTTGAGATAAATTAATTTTCTCAAAGATCTTTTTAGTAATACATTTCTTTTCATTATTTGATTCATAATATAATTTATTAATTCTATATATTCTACTCCAAATTACATCAATATCGGGTATTTTGTGATGAATCAGCATTCCAACATTGTTACATCAAGTTTTTATATTCTAAAGGAATAATGCCTGACTCAATTTTAGGTCTCATTCCATTTACAATATTCATTGCAAGTTCATAATCATTTTCACATTCATTAAAAGGTGTTTTTCCGGATGCAATTTCCCACATAAGCATTGCGAGATTATAAACATCAGATGCTTTAATATATTCCTTTCCGTCAATAATTTCAGGAGCTATATAAGGAGGTTCCCATAGATGCAATTTAATGGCAGAACCATAAAATCCAAGATTACTAATGAGCCACAAATCTATAAGTTGCGAAAATAATATATTTCCAGAATGCAAATCACTATGAATCGTATCTTCACAATGAATCTTGTCAAGTGCATCAACGATATTAACAGTAATTTTCATTTTTTCTTTCCATATAAGATTTTGATTATTTTGAAGATATAATATATTCTTAAATCTGTGTTCATAGTATTCATTACAAGGAAATATGCTTTACTAGATGGATCTTGAGTTAAACCATAACAAAATAATATATTATTTCATTTGTTACTTAGCGTTAAATGTGATTCTGCCTATATAATATAAAAAAGGTATGGTTATATATGGAAATAAACAATACTAAATAATGATATAAAAAAAAATTTCTATTAGAACTTTCAATATTTTCTAACTTTTTAAGGATCACATCATATAAACCAAATCGTTTTAATTCACTTCTTTTATCATCCCATTGATTATAACTTCCCTCAATCATGTGTGGCCGAATAAATTCTGAGAACCCGCCTTTAGTCAAGTATTCAATATTCTGGAAATTATTGTATGGTATCCATTTAACAACTTTATATGGACTAGGAGTTTGTATTTGTTACCTCCGTATCAAATTATCAATATTTGACGTCCAATTTGAAAATTTTGCTTTAAATGGTTTTGAATGCAATTTTCACAATATAAAGTTGCTAAACACTCTTGGTTACAACTTTCACGTAATCTTTTCTTCCAATTTTATAAATAATTTTATTTTGATCATGTATTTCATTTAATGTTCTTATCGCTTCTTTTGATTTTTCGTCGTTTGTAAGAAATTTATCAACAAGAACTATTTCCTTTCTAGATTTATGATTTTTGTCCATATTATCATCAATGCATTTGATTTATTTATTGTAATACTAATTAATTCATAACGAATAGTAGCCATTATACATTGAAAATATTGTTTCAGACATATACTAAAACCATTTAATAGTTTATTGTATTTAAACTAAATTTTTCGATCAAAAAAGAAATATATGTCAGATACATAGCTCACATCAAATTATATTCCATTGCTTGCTTGACTGAAACAAGAAACTTGCATAATCTATGCATAAAACAATTTGTGAAACAATAATAATAAATACCATACCATATAAAGTAAAAGAATACAAACTATGTATTTTAAATTAGTTTAATTTTTAAATTACGATTAAGATATTTTGCTGAAATTGTTATCCGGATCACGACCCGTCCCTTAAAGGTTTATTCAATCCGATTTACCTGTTAATACTTCATTTGGAAAATAACAATTACATAAACTTGTTTAATTAAACATTTATATTCTAATGGGGTTACTTGGGTCTTATCACATTAATTATTTACATTACGAGATAATAATCATGGTCAAATCGACAAAGGTGGTTGTCCGGAAGAAATCTCTATAAATATCGGATGCAATGTATAATATCCATTTCCAATAATGTCTTCAGGTGCTATGTAAGAAGATTTCGATATACACTTCCTAATAATTTATCAGAAGGTCCACAAAATCTAACCAAAATCACGAACATACAAAGAATCATCGTTATTTATAATGCAATATATTTCCTGAATGCAAATCTCTATGAATAGAATTTTCTTAATGAAGATAAAAAATTGCTTCAATTATGTATGCAAGTATATTTATTTGTTTTTTCCATGTAAGTTGATTATGAATTTGTTGTAAATGATTTTTTAAATCTAAATTCAAAAATTACATCACGAGAGAATAATCATTATTTTGTGGAACTTGTATAAGTCCACAAGTTTGAACAAATTTCTCCGTTTATTTGCTTAATGCTAATTGAGATTCAGCCTACAGAAAAGAAATAAGATAATTAACTACTCTTTTTTAAAAAAAATTGATCTTTTGATAGCAATTTCTCTTCTATTTGTACTTCATTTCTAATTGATTAAATATTACATTATGGTGTTTCACATTTTATTAATTGCTTTTTGTTTGAATCCCGTTCGTCATAACCTCTATCATTCTAAACTGCTGTATAAATTTCAGAACAACCACCTGTAGTTAGAAATCCAATGTTTTGCAAATGATCCTTTCAACAATTCTATCCGGAAGAATCGATTCAATCTGACAATATTGTATTAAATTGTCAATTTTATTATTTCCAGATGTCCAATTGTAAAATTTTATTCTTAAATAATTTCGAAGGAATTGCTCATAACATGATATAGCAAAAAAATTTGTATGCAGATTTCATAAACTCTTTTTATTCCTCGATTTGAAACTGTTTTGTTGGTGTTATAACTAGAATTTTTATCGTATTACATCTGATTTTTCATCTTTTGTGAGCGATATGTCTGCGTAAATTGTTTGTTGTATCAAAGTTTTTCGAGGTTTTGGAAATCTTAATAACTGTTAATGCAAATGCTCTATGAATTGCGCGTTAACCAATCCTTTACGAATGGAGGCCATTAAAAATCTCCGTGATTTTACTATTCGCAACAGTTACACAAATTGTTATCAAAAAATAAACTTTTTTTTTGAATTTTTTTTCAAATTAAGGAGTCACCAAAAAGATTAAAATATGAACTTCTAAATAATATTTTGTATTCATATATAATTATTCAACTTATTCCAGATTGTACACTTTTTATATTTTTTATTTAAATAATTTTTATATTAATGAAATAAGCAAGTCTCATGTTGAATTTGCTCATATCAGTTTATGATAATTTCTTACACTGCATACTTTTTAATAAAGTTATTATTTGGAATATGATTGAATTGATATATAAATCAAAGTATGAAGATTTCGGAAAAATGAAACTTTACTTATGCCCAAAGTATTTGAAAAGCAAGAATTATCACTTCGATATATTTAAAAGTTATTCATAAACTTGGTAAAAGTAAATTCATACTTCATCGATATTTATTCGAAGCGTAGATAATGCGAGACGTTGGAACCGGGTAAAAAAAAATTTTAATTTAAAATCTTAATTCTGGTAAAAATTAAGAAATTAAGGATGCTATCAGAAAAGATTTATATCGCCAATCTTTCGTGGATTGTCTTTAAAAATAAAATAATCCTCATTAATATTATGCGTTCTTTTGATAAGTAGCGAGTGGTTTTGTAATAACAAACATATACAAGTTTAAAGACAAATCTTGTTCATTTATTTGATACTGTTTTAACGTTATATTTATTTTATCAATCATAGCAGGTTTTTTAAATTTTAATTAAATATTTACTTTTTTAAAACAGAATAAAATACAATTTAAAAGATGTTCCCGTTCAGTTCTGTAGGCAAAGTTCTCCATTTAAAGCTGATATGGAATTTTTTAAATATTTTATAGATATATATTTTTTATTATTAAATACAACTATACATATAAAACTACAATAAATAACCGGTCCGTATTGATTTCAAGACTATATTACAAAGACTGGTCCACAAACTGATCCAACACTACGGAATATTAATTTCATAAAATTCATTTGTTCTAGATTTTAAAAATATATAAATTAAAAAAAAATAAATTGATATTACTTACTATTTGGAATAATAAGACTATTTTGCTTACTATCATGAGCTATTTTTTTTTTAAAAAAAATAAAATTGAAACAATAATTATAAATTTAGCAATTTTTTAATAAATACAAATTTAATTACCTTCAGTTGCATTTCTTGGTTCTGGTAAATTTTCAAAAACATGAAGTTTACTTAATGAATTAATAAAGCCAGAGCTTATATGACGGTTCGTGTTTGATTGTATATTGGTAGTTCCAACGTTGAATTCTCCATTTTGATAATACGGTTTTGCTATTTCAGTAATTTTTATACTAAGATAATGAATATTTGGTCGTTTCAATGGATCAGCATCCCAACATTGTTCCATTAAATTTGCATAATCTAATGGGGTTTCTGGTACTAATTTTGGTCTCATTCCATTCATTATTTTCATCACATGATCATAATCATGATTTAAATTAGCAAAAGGCGGTAGTCCGGATGAAATTTCCCACATAAGTATACCAATGCTATAAATATCAGAAGCAAATGTATATTTTTTACTATTAAAAACTTCAGGTGCCACGTAAGGAAGATTTCCATATACACTTTCTAATGGTTTATCAGCAGGTTCACAAAATCCAAAATCACAAATATGCCAAGAATCATTATCTTTAGAATATAATATATTTCCTGAATGCAAATCTCTGTGAATAGAATTTTCTTTATGAAGACGAAAAATTGCATTAATTATGAATGTAAGTATATGGATTCTTTGTTTCCATGTCAATTGATTATTATTTTGCTGTAAATAGTTTCTTAAATCAATATCTAATAAAGCCATTACAAGAAAATAATCTTCATTTGAATCTTGAGTAAGACCACAACTTTGAACGAAATCTCCCCATTTACTGCTTAATATTAATTGAATTTCAGCCTATAAAATAGAATTAAGATAATAATTAGCTATTTTCTTCAATTAATGATTTTTATAATTGATTTTATATTACATACATACTTCTTCAAACCAACTTCTATTAGCACTCTCAATATTTCTTAATTTTTTAAGTATTACTTTAACTTTACCACTTCTTTTTAATTGTTGTTCCTTAGAATCCCATTGAAAATATCTTCCATCAATCCAAATTGCTGTATAAATTTCAGAACATCCACCTTTACATAGATATTCAATTTTTTGTAAATGACTATATTGTATCCATTCAACTATTTTATATGGAACAATTGATTCTATTTGACAATTTTGTATTAAATCATCAATCTTATTATTTCCAGATGTCCAATTTTTAAATCTTACTCTTAAGTAATTTCGAATACATTGTTCGCAATATGTTGTTGCAAAACATTCTAGTTTGCAATTTTCACAAATTCTTTTTCTTCCTTTATTTAAAACAATTTTGTCAATGTCATAATTACGAGTTAATTTTAATATCACCTCTTTTTTTTCATCTTCTGTTAGCGAATTTTCATTGTAAATTATTTGTAGTTGAATTTCATATTGCTTATCAATGTTTGTGTTTATTTTAATATCAGTTGATGCAATTGCTCCAAAAATTCCTTTGACGATCATTTCTTTACGAACGGAAGCCATAATTTATCAAAGAAAAAAAAAGAAAAAAAAGGTTAATCGAATTTTAAACTCGGATATTTTATACTTTAAATCGACGCTGCACATCATTTGTGGCGCGACGATCAACTGACTGTGCTATCATGAGTAAATCAAATATATATATATTGTTTATTCAAGACATTGTAATTAACCCAATTTTCGTTAAATAATTTATCAAGGTTAAATTGTCGCTTGTTAAATTAGGGATTGGACTCGACGATCCAGTTTGGTTTAATCATCAGGTTCCGGGTCAATAGTACTTTCTTTTCTTACTTTTAACAGAACTGAAATTATTGTACTTAAAAGTATTATTATTTACGACCATAGGATCGTTTTAGTTTGCACAATAAATTATTTTCTTATTTTGGCATTGGATTAGCAAATGAGCAAGAACAGAAAAATCATATTTTATATTCCTCATAAACAGCAAATTAATACCAAGCTTAAAACTTTAAGAATAATTAATTTCAATAAATAAATGGAAAATTATTTCAATTGTTCATAAATATTTCAATGGTTATCAGGTATCTGATTGTACCTACCCGGCTGTTAAATTTACGATAAACTCAATATACGACATATCGATAGGTAATTTTAGTTATTTAATTACAAATGCAATTAAAAACATGACTTTCTAAAATATAACATTACCGATGAAATTTTCATGCCATACCGTAAAGTTTCACAATCGTCACAATAGAAAGTTTTCTAACATTCAAGTTTAATTTTTATCAAGAGAATCGTTTCGACCTAAAATGTAAAGGAATCTATAAAGTAAATAAATAAAAGGTAAAAAAAAAAAAGCGATGAAAATTTATGAAAATAATAAATCAAAATGGCGGAAACCAAATTCTTTGATTGCCTCGAACCCAAATTAAAAATAAAAACAAAATAGAATTAAGAAACTTACCACATACTTTCTAAGCTTAAAATATAAATGAAAGAGCAATTTTTTAAAAGATGATTGTTCGATCGCTGTAGAGCAAAGACCAAAAAGTAAAAAAATAAAATAAAATTAAAAACAACGAACTAAAAAAAATAAATTAACTAAAAAATAAATTTCTCATACTTTCTAAATGATCGAATCCGAAAAGTAGAAAATCAATAAATATAAAAATTGGAGAAGCTGATAACACATAGATGATTTATTTAACAGATAATTTTTTTATTTTTTTTTTGGTATATAAAAAAGTTTTTAATGATTATTCGCGCGCGTTCAAACGTTTCCTGCGCCATAAATAAAATTGATTAATCGAAACCGAACCAAATATTAGTACGAGAAACGATTGATCGTAATTAATCGATGCCAATTCTACTTTTTGAATCGATTCAAATCCCTAATTATGTGAGGGTCATTATAACGTGATTTTCGTCATTAGGCGTCATTCTGCATTCATAAAATATTTTTGCAAGCAAGAAAGTTTCTTTCCGTAGCTTAGAGAGAGAAATCGTATAATGTTCTTGATCCGCTATAAAATATAAATATATAAATTGGTTGAAATATAAGTATTGGAAACCGCTAAAATTTGCTCTATTATAAGTATTAAGTTGTCTCAATGTAGAAACTTCACGAAATGACGAAAATTTTTTTATATTTCCGACCATATAACGATTATGTAGATACGTATAAAATAAATAAAATTATGGACAATGCTTTATGATTTGTTCTTCAACGTAATATAAATTTCTTCATGATTTTCCTGTAGAGAACCAAAGGAACTTCGAATTGAAAGTGAATAAATCACATTTAAACAATATTAAACAGGTTAATTTCATCCATCCCCATGGAGTCACAAAACGTACAAAATTAAAGATTATTTGGTTAAAATAATGATTTGCAATGCTTAATCAAGAGCAAATCCAAGATTTTGCCATCTAAATTAAATTTTTACACGTTGTGGTCAGACAATGCATTGTCTTCATAGGTCATTATAGTAAAATGTTTATCGAACAATTCTTTCCTGCAATATAGAATGTTTTCTAGATCCCATCGCAAGATAATCATTTTATTAATAAGTGACGCATAGTTTAGTAATACATTTCTTAGATAAAACCGATCGTGAGTTTATATTTATGGCGTTATATAAGGCTTTAACTATTATTTAATTTTTTTTTGTTCTCTAAATTAGGCGTAATTTCGTTTTGAAGATATTTGATTAAATAATTATATATACGTAACTCCAATAAAAATTATAAAGTTTTTTTTTCACGCACAAAAGAAAGTTATCTTTTTTTGAAATAAATATATTTCAAGATTCATAAGTAAAATGTATCTTGATTTTGATTCGAACAATTCCGTAACTCTACAAATTGATCAATATCCGTCCCATTACATGAATCGAAATTTATGATAGCAAGGACGAATTTTGCATGTAGAAAATAAAGATTTTTGACGATTATAAGAATTCATATAATTCAAATCATTAAAAAAACTTTGTTTAAAAAAATTATTTTCCAAACTTATGAACACTATTAGAAATAATATCTGATTATCTATCCAGATAAATTATTTTAATTTTTAATAAATTTCGGAATTTGAAATTAAACTATTAAGACATAATTCTAACGTTAAGCTTTTTAACAAAAAAAATTGACTTTTATATCCCATACATGCATAATTTTTTAATTTCACTTGTAAATAGCTTTTAGAACATCATCATTCAAAGAAATAGATCATAAATAAATGGAAGTTATCTAAATAGATTAAACCAAATAAAATAATTTTACTCTTTTTTTTCCACTTATCTTTTTATCTTTTAATCTCGTACAAATAATCTTTTTGTAGAAATTTTTCAAATTGCCGGGAAATATCTTTTTGGGAATGATTTACAGAAAGGTCCCCCTTTTTTAATTATTTAACCAATAACTTACTTTTATGTTATGTTAAAAATGGTTAAAACTTGTTTTTAACTTTTTATGTATTCTTTAAACTTTTTTAACCTGTTTAATCTATTATTGTTCTTTTAAAATTTTTATAAGCAAGTTATCATCGCATCATCATTACTAATCTGTATACACGGGTAAAATTCTACATGGTGATATACCCATTGATTGTTCAATAAAACATGATTTTCTTATTTTCACAAAGGAGAGAGATTGATTTTGATAAAATTACTCATTATTCCAAAAAAAGTTAGTATTGACATTCATTTTTTAAAGGGACAATTATAAAATTATCAATTTAATCTTTTATGCTTATGTTTGGTACCACTTTCTTCTAGTTAACAAAAACTGGTATTTTTTTAACCATTTATCAAAACAAATAATTTACGCCATGATTATTTAAAACCTACCCGTTGATATACAAAATTTTGAGTGACAAATTATTCCCTATGTGGCATTAAATTAATCTTTTTTTTTGTAACGGAAATTTTCGTATAATATTGAAGACATTCGACAAAGGTTGGAACTTTGTTTCACATTATCTATTATTCGCTTACAAACTTTCTAAATCTTAAAATTCTAATGATAACAAACACAAACCAGTTAAATCTTATCAAATTATTAAAAATCTTATTAATAAACTTATAGATAATTGTTCCAACAAGTAATGCTTGATCAATTTTATGAAGAATTACTCCAACCATATAAAATCCTTCTTTATCGAAGATAAAATTTAAATTCACAGGTGGAAAAAAGAATACCTAAAATGTGCATGCGGAGCAACTAAAAAAATGTCCTTCTAAATATCAAGCATTACCCTGGTGGCGATGTCTATGTATTTTATAGATGACTCATTGCAATCGAGATCTAGTGAATTTGGTGGGGATAAAATTTTTTTTGAATTCTAGCATTCTTGAATTACTAGCACATATAACATTTAATATTTTAGCATTTAATTTTTTTTTCGTTCATTTTGTTTTATAATTTTACTTGAGCGTGCTTTGGTTTAGAAGTTGGAACCGGTTAATTTTTAACCGGTTAACTAACCGGTTAAGACGTTTATCTTGTTAACCGGTTAAAGATTTTTTTTAACCGGTTAAAATAACTAATGTTAACTCTG